GTGAGCTCATAGATTATTGATCATCTCAATGAATCATCAACATTCACTTCAATCAATGTGAAAAGTTATTGATCAGAACAAACACAAGATAAATTAAATAACTCATTTATTTAACTAATCGTCACATTTTATAAAACACACAAACAGAATGATGGGTTCAAAGTTTAGGGTCAGAGAAGAAGTCAGGTTTAAGGTTTTGAGGTCAGATATAAGGGTCAGAAGTCAGGTTTAAGGGTCACATATCAGGTTTAAGGGTCAGAAGTCAGGTTTAAGGGTCAGAAGTCAGGTTTAAGGACCAGCCGTCAGATTTAAGGGTCAGGTTTAAGGACCAGACGTCAGGTTTAAGGGTCAGAGGTCAGGTTTAAGGGTCAAGGGTCAGGTTTAGGGGTCAGGTTTAAGGGTCAGATGTCAGATTTAAGGGTCAGGGGTTAGGTTTATGGGTCAGGGTTCAGGTTTAAAGGTCAGAGTTCAGGTTTAGTATCGGGTCAGGTTTAAGGGTCAGAGGTCAGGTTTAGTATTGGGTCGTATCTTCATCTCAGTGAACCTGAGCGAGTACTGCCAGCCCGTCCAGCTGGACCACTCTACACCGTCAGCGTAGGAGGCATGGCCTCCTCTCAGGTACTGCCCGTTGAGGTTGGAGGTGTGGCAGTTACGGTACCACCAGGCCCCCTGGTAGTAGGCTGCACAGTTGTTCTCTGACTGGTCCTGGTCCCGGTCTTTGGTGGTGAACTGCATCCCAGAATGCTTCAGGAGGGAGTCACCTGAAGGACAGAAGAACACCTGGTAGTCTCGTGTGGTGCTGTTTATTACTACATAGACCAGCATCAGTAGTCTTACCTGTGGTCCCTGAGTACTGGTCCACGTATCAGTACTAGTGTTAATACCTGTGGTCCCTGAGTACTGGTCCACGTATCAGTACTAGTGTTAACACCTGTAGTCCCTGAGTACTGGTACACATATCAGTACTAGTGTTAATACCTGTAGTCCCTGAGTACTGGTCCACGTATCAGTACTAGTGTTCCTACCTGTGGTCCCCGAGTACTGGTCCACGTATCAGTACTAGTGTTCCTACCTGTGGTCCCTGAGTACTGGTCCACGTATCAGTACAAGTGTTCCTACCTGTGGTCCCTGAGTACTGGTCCACGTATCAGTACTAGTGTTCCTACCTGTGGTCCCTGAGTACTGGTCCACGTATCAGTCATGTCTAGTGTTCCTAGACATAGACTAGTGTTCCTACCTGCGGTCCCTGAGTACTGGTCCACCTCCAGCGGGTACCCGTCCTCATCAGGGTTCACCGAGTCTCGACCAACGGAGAATTCACCGTAACGAGCAAACGCTGTGGCGTTGTCGAAGTCAGACATGTCGATCCGTAATTCATACCCACCGGATCTGGTGAGGGAGTAGATCTTCTGGAGACCTGAGAGGGAGACAGACAGGGGGACATTATTGAACTTTGCCATAACAATGTGATTAATCGCAAAAAAATCATGCGATTAATCGCGATTAAAAATTGTAATCGTTGCCCAGCTCTAATATACTGTATATGTGTGTGTGTACCTATCCAGTGTTCTCCTGTAGTCTTTCCAAACCCGTCTCTATAAGCCTTCCAGTCTCTGAAGAAGTTCACTGATCCGTCTTCTCTCCTCTGAATCACCTGAACACAAATACATTTAACATTTTATTTATCTGTGTCTGTGTGTGTGTCTGTGTGTGTGTGTGTGTTCCTCACTGTCCAGCCTCCTCCATCAGTCTTCATGTCACAATAAACTAAGAAGCCGTCGGGTTCGTGAGTCGGAAACACTGAATAAACTCCGTCCTGAGAAACACCGGAGGCCATGACATCGGAGCAGTCTCTGGGTCTGACAGCTGAGAGACAGACAGACAGACAGACAGACAGACAGAGAGAAAGACAGAGACAGACATATTAAAGTGTAATATTGTGTATAAATATATATTAAATTGTATTAATGTGTAATAACATGTATTAATATGTATTAACATGTATTAATATGTATTAACATGTATTAATGTGTATTAACGTGTATTAACATATATTACATTACATTACATTACAGTCATTCAGCAGATGCTTTTATCCAAACAAACTTACAATAAGTGTATTTAACATATTCAAGAGAACTACGAGTCACCAGAAGTCATAAGTGCATCTCCTTTAAACAAGCATCTAAGAGCATAAACCAGAGCAGAAGTACAGAAACAAACTAGTATGAATACAGTAAATGCAACAAACTAGTATGAATACAATAAGTGCAACAAACTAGTATGAATACAGTAAGTGGTGAGTGGAAGGCTCAGGGTAGTACTTCTTGAAGAGGTGAGTCTTCAGCCTGATGAAAGATGGGCAGCGACTCTGCTGTCCTGACGTCAGTGGGGAGTTCATTCCACCACTGTGGGGCCAGGACAGAAAACAGCCGTGACCGGGTCGATCGGCTGCAGGGACCTCTGAGCGACGGGGCAACCGATCGCCCCGAGGCAGCAGAGCGAAGTGGTCGGGCAGGGGTGTAGGGCTTGACCGTGGCCGGGAGATAGGAAGGAGCTGTTCCTGTCACTGCCCTGTAGGCTAGCACCAGAGTCTTACACTGTATGCGAGCTCTTACAGGGAGCCAGTGTAGAGAACGGAGAAGGGAAGTTGTGTGCATCTAATCAGGATGCCTCCTGGCTGCCTCCCACTGGAGGTTTTCTGGGAGGAGACCCCGGGGAAGACCCAGAACACGCTGGAGGAATTATATCTCCCAGCTGGCCTGGGAACGCCTCGGGATCCCCAAAATGAGCTGGAACATGTTGCGGGGAGAGGGAGGGTTGAGTCAGCCTGCTTGGCCTGCTGCCACCACGACCCGACCCCGGAAAAGTGGTAGAAAATGGATGGATGGATGGAACATGTAATAACGTGTAATAACGTGTATTAATTCATAATAACGTTTATTAACGTTTATTAACGTGTATTAACCTGTAATAACGTGAGTTACCTCTGTGGGTGGAGTCCTTCTGCAGGTCACTGCTGAGTCTTCTCAGACTCTCTGTCTCCCTCTGGAGGCTCACCAGAGATTCACTGAAACCTGCAACCAGCTTCAACACACCTGAGTGACTGTCAGACAACACCTGTCCAGGTGAAAGAGGGAGACATATTATATCATTTCATGAAATTCATATATTGTGGGTTACTTGTATTTTAATTTAAATTAAATTGTAATTCTGTAAATTCTTTTTTTTTTTTTATTGAAAGACAAGAGACAATATTAGACAATACATAGACATAACAACAAGAGGATGACAAGAACAGTGGGATAAAAGCCAGCAAACATCATATAGTCAGTGTGTGTGTGTGTGTGTGTGAGAATGTCCTTGAGCCTTTTGAGATGGGAGAAAAAAAAAATAATAATAATAATAATAATTAAAAAACAACAAAGTATATGTGCATATGGATGTTCATGTATGCATGTACGTGGGTTTCAATTGGTTGTCAGGCAAGAAAAACAAAACAAAAATCAATAATAGCAATAAATACATAAAAAAAATAGATATATACTATACAAATTTTAATATTAATAGGATGGGTGATGTCACGTTTGCAGAAACATAGTGAGGGATGACCAGGTGGTGGTGTTCTGTTGTATTGTATATGATGGACGAGGTTAGATTGTCCATTGAAATATATTCTATCATTAAGTTTCTCCAGTGTGTGATATGTGTGTTATTCCTTGATTTCCAGTTCATGAGGATAGTTTTCTTGGCGATAGTTAGGGC